AATCCGTGATCAACTCGTAAAAATATTGCTGTTGACGACTACAAATCCAGGATGTTCGATGTATATAAACATGCATATATAATTGTAGAGCCAGAAGAGGAATTTATCGAAAAGGATATTCTTTGCTCGCTCAATTATTTTGTGTTTTATCGATTTCTGAATGAATATTTTTGCTACATTTTTTTTATTCCTCTACGTTCCCAGTGCCAGAACATAAGGCTTCAGATTTGAGGCTTGAAGTTTCGGTAGCAATGGTGTTTATTCACTTTTACGGGATGAGGTCGCCAGCCAGCCTCATGCCAAATCAACCCTCTCTACCTTACCAGTCTTATTACTGTCCTAGCAAGATAAAGGAGAAGTGCATCTGTAGCCGGGGCTCGAACCCCGAATCACATGGGTCGTGGTTGGCGAGCATAATAATAATAATAATTATAGTCTACTTAATTCCAAAAACAGACAGTACTTATAATACAGAATGGAATTCTCAGCATTTGTCACAATATCTTGCATCTGATTTATTCAAAATATAAATAAAATTAAAAATTAAAACAAAAGTAACCAGAGGAATTTGTCCGCATTCTTACGCTATAAAGTTAAAAAATATTCGAAGCACGAACTGAGAGTATTAAATATAATAATAATAATACTAACAGTTTGTTTCAAACAGTATTGGCGATTCAGTTTGGAAATTCTAGCATGTTATAGATTATTGGATCTAATGTTCTGTTGATATAGCAGCATGGTGAGGTGAAAGACAAGATTAACAGTGGTAACACAGCTCAAACGATGTTCACACTTATGAAAAATATATTAATAAAAACAAAAAGTTGAGAGTATTGTAAATATAAGAAATACAATAACAATAAAATTTGGTACTGTAAGGGTGGAAGAAATGGTTTATTTAGTAGTGCAAAGAAGGTTAGTTAGTTAGTTCATGCCTGACACTATTTTCATCACATAAAGTACGTGCCATCAAATATGGTATAGTGGAATTTTTTTAATACTTAGACGTACGTGCATAAAGTTTTCTGAAAAGACTTTTTGTTTTAACTGAGGAGGAGACACAAGGTTGGAGCTGCAGGTACTGTAGTGGATGTTCACAGTCTGAGAAAATTCCTTTATTAAATTTGTTGCATGACATCAAGTGTCTATCAGTGACAATGTTAACGATATGGCCCAATGGGACACGACCACTCGCCCTACTGACCGACAGTCTTCAGAGTTCTACGAAGTATGACATAATCTTTTTTAAGCAATCCAGGAAAGAATAAGTAAGGGTGAACAGTAAAGAAGAATAGGTAAGATGCATGAGTTGAAAAACTGTAAGAGAAGGAGGAGTTGAGTCATGCCGGAGTGTCTTAACTTCTTCATGTAAAATGTCAGATAGAATAGTTGACTAGAAATTGCTAAGACGTGTGGGAAGACCAGGATAGTTCAGTAGAAAGAATTAATCCAAGATACTTTAACTTCAGACTTGATTTCTATATCAGCATCATCGATTTTGCAACGGTCATAGGAACCAACAGCTTCATCGTTTAACTTTCTTTTTACATCGGAAAGTGAAATTAACAGTCTGACATTTGACCTATGTGCCACCGACTCATCTATTATTATTATTATTATTAAAACAGAAATTTGGTACATTGTGGGCAAAAAGGTGCATCGGTGGCGCAGCGATAGAATGCTTGCTAACCATATAAGTGGGTCGGCGGTTCGAGCCCCAGCCGACGCACTCGTTTACCTTGCTAAGCCAGTAATAAGACTCTGATAAAGAGAGAAGTTTGGGTATGAGACTCACAACCCCATCCCGTAAAAATAAACATCCCTACTACCGAGGCTTCAATGCTCTAGCTTTAAAGCCTTATGTTCCAGCACTGGGAACGTAAAAGGAACAAGAAAATGGGCAAAAAAATATACGCCACATGAAAATAATAAGACGACTAATTATGATCTCAATTTGTGCGATAGCTGGTATACTGCCTGGATGTCCAGATTGAAGGTGGTAGTTGTCTTGATGAGCCGTCGGCCTCCCAACACCGAGCCTTTGACTTGAAGTCTGATTGACAGCATGGTGGAGAAACGTCAGGAGCTACCTTCCCATGATATCTGATGACTACAATCCGGTTCACACGCCACTTGATCCTTCAAAGTGTGGAGGTCATGTTCATCATTGGTTTTGAATCAGGGTTTCTCAGCTCTTTTAGGTGGTAGACTTGCATATCCACCAGTCCGGTGGTAAGCACCAGACATTCGAATTCTCTGTTTCACTTTTGTGAGGAACACCGTTACCACGTGAAGGATGTAAACGAGATTTACCTGACAGATGCTATCAGTGCTAGGGCACATGAGAGCGCCTCGTAAGGAAGACTGTCGGTCAAACTAGGTGGTTTACATCTATTGAAATGGCTAGGACATGCGCTGTTACACATACCCAGCCACCTTCTTCGTCGTCGATGAATATGATCCGTCGTAGGAGTTAAGAGTAGTGGTCAAAGCAAAACGTGGAATCATTCCATTCCATGAAATCTCTGACGATTGGTTCGAAGTGGAAAAAACTGCCTGGTTAGGGGGTCCTTGAAAGGCTAAAAACCAGTGATTTGAGACGATTAGTGATATACCTCAAAATCAGTTTCAATGGCGGAGATGTATTAATTCTTCATTCGTTTGAATCTTTCTTGTTTTCTATGTTTGCCTTTTGTCTTCCTTTGTGCGGTACATAGAGTGTGCTAACGTGGACTCTTGTAGCGCGCTTCTATGCAAAATTTTATGTTTAGACTAAACCAGTCAGTAATTTGATTAGTCGACGTTTTGTCTTTACAAAATTCAATTATGCCTATCCGATGGATTCTTGTAAATATCTGCATAATAAATTCACAATCTTTACTATCATACAAAACTTGCTGAAACCTGTGACTATAAGACATCATGGAAAGCTTTATCTATCATCTCTCAGAGGGGTTTTTCCCCTGGAGAAAATTTTGACTAGTATTCTAAGTTGCCGCCGGCATAAACAACTTCGGTATTCCTCTCAAAATGCTCTCAGACAGGGTAAAAGTTGTGTTCACTCCCCTCACGCGTCACAAGTGTTCCTCACTAAAGTGGTGTGTGTGTGTGTGTGTGGGGGGGAGAAATTTGAACATCCTGGTACTTAAAGGCGGACTGGTGTGGACATGGAAGTCTGCCTAGGGGAGCTGGGGGGGGGTGGGAATCCAGATTGTAAACCTGTGGTGTAGATGATGGGCTCCAGAATCTGAAAGAGCTGAATGGAGTATAGACGTTCAAATTTCCCTGTGTTAGATTGTATAACAGGAATATTGAGGTTAGGCATCCGTCGAGTGCTAGGTAAGTCGTGAGGCGAAATCAATCGACGAGGTTGTGAAGTTACACTGATTGACATGGTTAAGGCATGCGTTGCGCATGCCTGCCTAGCCATCGCCTTCCTCGATGAGTAATGTTAAGTACCATAGGATCCGGTTGGCGGGCAAACCAAAACATGGCTCCCCCAGTCAATGAAATTCACAACAGTTTGTCTAAGCCAGCCGGCCAGTCATCCATGTAGGAAGGTGTAGACATCCTGACTGGATGGTTGGGAGTCCTTGGGAATGGTAAGGACCAATACCAATGACTGGAGACAATTGGTGATATATTAGATAGTTGAAGGCAATCGGCCACAGGAAGCCTTGCCTGACCTAGGTTTCGTGCTAGTTGGCAGTTACTAGTCAGCAAGGCGTATCTGAAACCACCTCGAAGGAACTCATCTCCCTTCTGAGATTCGAACCCGCTTCATCCAGTGCCGCCTGCAGTCAGAGACTTTACCACTGAGCTATTCGCACTTGTGATTGACTTCCTGTAGGATTGTAGTGGGTATTTTGATTGGTAACTAGTAACTAGTGTGACGTGTCTAGTCCTAGAAGGGAGATACGAGTACTTTCAGGGTTGCAGATACGCCTTGCTGACTGGTGGTGAGTGCCAACTAGCACAAAACCTAGGTCAGGCTAGGCTTCCTGTGGTCAATTGCCTCCAACTATCTAATATATATCATCAAATCAGTGTGCAACGTGATGGCGAGCTACCTAGCGGAATGGTAGCCATATTGCAAAACCTGATTGATAGAATTCAATCTGCACCAAACAAAGAAAGGACTAGACACATCACACTAGTTACTGACTAGTGCCCAATCAAAATACAGTTGGTGATATGGTTGGCTCAAAGTGATCGTTTTCAATGGCTGGCGGGTACAGATGCATTCACTCTATGTGATTTATCATATCCAATAAAACTACATTGTTCTTCCGTATTACTACTATTCTTTTGCTTCAGTCACACTTCTGTTTATTATGTCTCTCTTTACTGTCTTCTCTTGCTTTGTATGGTACATTGAGGGAGAGTGAGAACTCGAACTGGTGCACATCTGAGCAAAGTTGTATTTTGAAACCAGTCAGTCAGTCAGTCGGTTAATCAGTCACAAGTTTCCATCTAGGCGTCCAGGCAGCCCAGTCCTCTCACAAGCTATACGACTTTGTCCTGCGCATCGCTTGGTGCCCATAATGTACTAAATTTGTGTTTCAATAATAATAGTAGTAATACTATCGTGAGTCAAAATTGATGGACAGTAATTTACGTCAGTGTTTATGTCCCTAATATTGGTCGTGAGAAAAATGAGAACAAAGACTGCGTAGGCGGATACAGTTACTATATAGATGATCTGACATTCAAGAAACAGCCACAAAGAGATGCAAGGTTAACTTTCTGTGAGAAACAACCAATCAGGGGGACTGTGTTTGTCTGCTTACAATAATCTATAATAATGTACATGAAACTCTATACATATGTGTTGATTTCCTTAATAAACAATCTGTTGCCTGGCCGTTGTCATCTACCGTTACAGGGCAAGTATCCTAGGTAACAGATAATATACCCTACCATTTCATTGAATCATTCCCTTTTTAATTGTACTTCTTCTTTTTTCTCCTTCTTCTCACATCTTTTTTTGTTTTTAGTTTACTTTATGTTCATGCAATCGCTATCTAAGAATGTTGCACTCGCTGCGCCGAATACATCGATGCCATTTACAATATGGGATGTAATTCTATGGATTGGTATAGCCAGTTTATCAATTACAGGCGCACATACTTATTTAGTATGGTATGGATCTGGTACTTGGTATGGTCATCCAACAATTTTATCTTTAAAAGAAATCATCACGGTGGAATTAAGATCTGAAATACAATCGTCATCACCATCATCGTCAGAGGCAACCACAGCCGCAGCGAATTCATCGCGGTCACCATCCTCCTCCTCCTCCTCCCCATCATCAATTGGTAGTCTTGATACTACGTAAGTCCAGTTGATGTGTGTGTTCTTTACTATTATTATTATTGTTCCCTTGGGTTCCTAGTGGAACATAGGGCTTCAACTGCGCGTCTCCACTTGCTTCTGTCTTGCTTCTGCTGTACTTTTCACCTGCATCCATGTTAGTCCATAGTGTTTCAACTCGTCTTCACACGAGCTCTTCCATGTCACCCTTACACCGACGTCTCACTCGCCGCTTTCCTTTCGGGTTCCATTCGAGAAATGGCCTGACGCGCGCGCGATGTGACTCAGCGGCCTCTTCAGCGAGTGAGTGTCCGACCCATCTCCACTTTCTCCTGCATATTTGTTGGTTGGCGATTGGTTCTTGTTTTGCTTGTTCCCATAGCTTCTTGTTGTTGGTGATTCTTTCCGGCTCGGCCATCTGATCTTCAATATAGATCCAGCGAAGACAGTTTTGGGTTGATAAAGGTCTGCAACAGGCTGTTGGAAATATTCTTTGTGACCCGCCTGCCAAGTTTCTGATCCGTATAGAAGAGCTGACTGACTTGACGTTGTTTGTATTGAAAATCCGACCGAATATTGTTGATGCTGAGTTGAGTGACGAAGGTTTCCAGATTGGTTTCAGGTTGATGAATGTGTTTCTCGCTCGCCTTCCCGATTCTCGGTCGATTTGACATCGTCGTCCGTTCCGACTGCGTGTAGTTGAGACAATGCTCCCTAGATAAGTGAGTGAATGAAGTAACCTCTTTCAAATCCCTCCCGTTGATGGTGATTGGCGCTTGATGGTTGGTTATTTTCATAACTTCTGTCTTGTCTATGTTCACCTGGAATCCTCTCTTCGCCGGCTGCTTCTGCGACCAGTTTATCGGTTCTCGCTTGTAAGTCTTCGATCTTGTGTGACATCAAACATAAATCATCCACGCGCGAAATCCAGGTCTTCTTGGGTTGTTCACGTCGGTCCAGGATATTCCTGTCTTCTCGTTTCCCACTCACTGTCTGATGCATAATCCAGTCAGTCCACCACAATTAGGAATATCATTGGTGATAATAAGCCAGCAGCCTTGTCTGACTCCTGTGTTTACTCCAAAGGCCTTACTGAGTTTTCCGTTGTGGATGACTTGACATGTTCCGTTGTCGTACAGCTGTTGAATAAGGTTGATGAATATTTGGGGTAGGCCGTATTACTCGAGTAGTTTCCAAATTACTTTGCGGTCAACGCTGTTTGTCGAAGGCCTTCTCAAAGTCTATAAAGTTGAGGTACAGAGAGGTTTGATTGCCATTCCATGCTTTGGTGTGTGTTCTTTGAGTTAACAGATTACTTCATGAAAAAAATAGACAATTTTGTATGACAGTATGAAGCTAAAACCCATTCGTTTACTTTTATGAATGCTGGCGGAGATGTGTGCCTGTGTGTTCGTGTGGTACACGCCAAATTGGGCCAATACGCGCTGAAGATATGAAAAGGTTGACTGCTTTCGATCATAGATGTCTGCGATCTCTGTCTCACGTTAGGTGGTTTCACAAGATAAGTAATGTTGATGTTAGGCGTAGAGTGTTGGGCAAAGAGGGAAAATCAATCGACGAGGCTATAAAGTTACATAGACTAAGATGGCTAGGTCACGTGCTGCGCATGCCTAACCACCGCCTCCCCCGACGGGCTTTGCTAGCTGATATAGGTGCAGGTTGGAAAAGAGCCAGTGGTGGCCAAACAAAAACATGGTCTCATCAATCCATGAAATCCTTGACAGTTAAACTGAGTCAGGTAGGGAGATGCAGACTTCCGGGTTGGGGCCCTCGGGACTCTAGGAATCAATGGCTGGAGACAATAGGTGACATGGCTCAAAATCGTTGTCAATGACAGCGCAGATGTATTCAGTCTCTGTAATCTTTCATATTCCTTTCTACCATTACCCATTCTGTTTCGCTCGTATACCTGTCAAACTCTATTAATTCTCTTCACTCATCTTCTTGTCTACCTCTGTGGGCTATTTGGAAGGTGGCAACTCGAACTGCTGCACTTCGGTGCCAAGTTCTATGTTGAATCCAGACAGACAGACAGAACCTTGTTACTGTCTCTCTGTTAGCCTAATCGTCGCATGTTGGGTTTACAAATGCTTTGGTGCGCACAGTCTTGTTATACGCCTGTGAGACCCTGACCTTCGAGCTTGAGAATGTGCAACCAGTCTGCATGTTCGATCATCGCCGTCTCCATAGAATTGCTTGCACCCCATAGTATCATCATGTAAGTAATTCTGATGTCTGGCGGTATATGTTTACACATAGTGGAGATCGTCTTTCAATAAGTATTCTCATCTCACTGGCTCGGACATGTACTGTGTATGTCATCCTGGCGCCTCTTGTGTCGTTCACTGTGTGCTAACCCTCAGCTCATGAGGTAGCACTGTAAAAGCAACGATAACTGTTAGTAGGTTGGGATCTGTTGGTGCATCACGACTCTCTTGTTGGCTTCTGAAGTAGACAGTCCAGATCAATGGCTCGAAACATTGTCTGATTCACTTAAAAATCATAATCAATGGTGAAAATGACCCTATAATTTCCTCCTTTCGCCTCTTTTTTTCCTGAAGGTCACGTAAATTGATGAATTGTTTCCTTTAGTTCCTAGAGGAGGACCATAGGGCTTCAGCCGCACGTCTCCATTGCGTTCGGTTCTCTGCCAACATTTTCATCACATGGCTCCATGTCTGCCCACATGCTTTTATCTCCTCTTCTCTGCATGACCTCCTTCATGTCACCATCGGCACTGACAACCAACTCGCCGCTTCCCGTTTGGATTCCACTCGAGCAATGGCCTGTCTTGTAATGTCGTTTGATGGTTTCCTCAGAGTATGACCAATCGACCTCCATTTGTTTCTGCATATTTGTTGCACAGTTGCTTCCTGGTTGGTTCGCTCCCAGAGATCTTTGTTTCTGATCTTTTCTGGTCATTTGATCTTGAGTATTGAGCGAAGACAGCTGTCGATGAAGGTCTTTAGTTTGTGTGAGGTGCTCTTCACGATGCTCCAAGTCTCTGATTGATAAAGTAGCACTGACTAGATTTCACATTTGAGTTGATAATCCTGATCTTATTTTTGATGCTGAGTGCTGTTGACCTCCACACAGACTTGAGAGTAATGAAAACTTGTCTTGCTTTTCCGATCCTCTCTGCTTTGATATCCTCGTCAGTCCGGTCGGCTTGCAGTTGAAACGATGCTTCCCAGGTCGGTGGGTAAAGGAGGTTGCTTCTTTCAGATTTCTCGCATTTTCAACCCGAATGTGAAGTCAGTGATACTCACTATATGGATCAGAGACTTGGCGCTGTACCACGTCGCATCACGAAGGCCACTTCGAACAAACTACACACCTTCGTCAACAGGTGTCTTCGCTCAAGGTCAGATGACCGGCCAGAAAACATCGGCAGTAGTGGGGGATTTCTGGGAACGACGAACCAACCCAGTAGGAACCGATTGTGCAACAGATATGCAGGAATAAATGGAAGTGGATTGGCCATACTGTGAGAAAAAAAAAACCCATCAAGTGAGTGGCATTACACGCCAGGCCATTGTTCGAGTGGAACCCCAACGGAATGGGAGGCGACAAGTTGGTCGTCAGTGAGAGGGTGACATGTAGGAGGTCATGTGAAGAAGAGATGAAAGCATGTGGGTAGACGTGGAGCCAGGTGATGAAAACCAACGCAATGGAGACGTGCGGCTGAAACTCTATGTCCCTCCTTTAAGAACTAAAGGAAACAATAATAATACTTACTTACTTTACTTCGGCTATCTCCTACGGGAGGATGAGCCGGCTTCATGAACCATGAAGTTTCATGGGAATTGGGTACGAGTGATGTCCCCAGCATCGCTCGGCCTTTTGTTTGAGAGTGCAGCTCTAGCCTTTACACAACCAAGTGTGACCTACAAGGCAGTAGGAGTGGAGTAGGGAGTCCACTATCCATTGGCAGCCGGTGACCGGAGTCCGGTTCATTCGCCTTTTTGAATGGGGCCAGTCATCCAGGGCATCCAATAAGCCCTTTGTCCATACGTCTGCCGGTGAGCTTCATACGCCAGTCGTTGGAGGTTTGGAATCAGGGTTTAGCCATCTCCCCTAGACTGTCATCCAATGGACAGTCAACCCGGTGAAGAGCGCCGGGCATCCGCTTTTGCCCTCTCACTTTGGTGAAAAACACCTCCGCCACGTGAAGGCAGTGAGTAGGACTTCCTCAGGAGAGGCTATGTAAGACGCCTGGTCATATGGGAGCATTTCAAGAGGTGTACGGAGGGGTGGCCAACCCGCATCGCAAGACACCCACCCCCGACCATCCTGAGGCTACAATAATAATAATGTAATAATAACGTCACCATAATATCTCAAACAACGAACAACTTACGGATTGTGAGGGTCAAGTGAAGTTTAGTTTCAAAGAGCATCTGAATGATTTAGGGAGACGATTCTTGAGTATATCTGAAGCCTGATGACCATTGAATTTCAGATTCATAAAAATGGGTTTCTTTTAAACTGAGTTAGTAATAATATGGAGGATTTAATCATGAGCTGACATCAGTTAGAGAACCACTGGAAAACCTGGGAGTACTGGACAGCTGTTTCGTCCTAGTTTGGGACTCTTCAGCAGTACGCACCCACCGGAACTCGAACCCAGGACCTTCTGGTTACAAGGCGAGCTCGTAGACCATTGAGCCACTGGGACCCGATCCAATGGTCCTTGAATTCTAACTTCTGCCAATTCACGACATAGCGCGACCACTTCGCAATATCTTCTTCGATGAGTTACTGCCTCATCTTCAACCTGCTGTAACCTACTGGTCACGGCTTCCCACTAGAACCCCAGGTTAACTGCCTGAATAGGGTCAGTCACTAGTGAGCATCAGATTAATTTTCAAGTATTGGTTTTGTAGGGATTTTTTGTTTGATTGCATGGAGGATTTAATCATGAGCTGACATCAGTTAGAGAACCACTGGAAAACCTGGGAGTACTGGACAGAATTCAAGGACGATTGGATCGGGTCCCA